TCGGTTACACAACTGGTCGGGCTCCGGTTAAATAACTGGTCGGACTCCGGTTAAATAACTGGTCGGGCTCCGGTTACTTAACTGGTCGGGCTCCGGGGGTGTCACTTGGGCTAAGGGTTGTGCATGGTCGGGCTTCGGTTCGTGCATGGTTGTGCTTCAGAGGTTTTGTTCGGTTCGTTCATGCTAGGCTTGCAGTTACACAAATGGTGGGGTCCCAGTTACACAACTGGTCGGGTTGCAGTTACACAACTGGTCGGGTTGCAGTTACACAACTGGTCGGGTTGCAGTTACACAACTGGTCGGGCTCCGGTTACATAACTGTTCGGGCTATGGGGGTGTCACTTTGGCTTCGGGTTGTGCATGGTCAGGCTTCTGTACGTGCATGGTTGTACTTCAGATGTTGTTTGTTCTGTTCGTTCATGCTAGGCTTGCGGTTACACAACTGGTCGGGGTCTGGTTACACAACTGGCGGGGCTTCGGTTACACAACTGGTCGGGCTCCGGTTAAATAACTGGTCGGGCTCCGGTTAAATAACTGGTCGGGCTCCGGTTACTTAACTGGTCGGGCTCCGGGGGTGTTGCTTGGGCTAAGGGTTGTGCATGGTCGGGCTTCGGTTCGTGCATGGTTGTGCTTCAGATGTTGTTTGTTCAGTTCGTTCATGCTAGGCTTGCGGTTACACAACTGGTCGAGGTCCGGTTACACAACTGGTCGGGGTCCGGTTACACAACTGGTCAGGGTCCGGTTACACAACTGGTCGGGGTCCGGTTACACAACTGGTCAGGGTCCGGTTACACAACTGGTCGGGGTCCGGTTACACAACTGGTCGGGGTCCGGTTACACAACTGGTCTGTCTCCGGTTACACAACTGGTCGCAACTGGTCGGGGTTCGGTTACACAACTGGTCGGGGTTCGGTTACACAACTGGTCGCTCTCCGGTTACACAACTGGTCGCTCTCCGGTTACACAACTGGTCGGTCTCCGGTTACACAACTTGTCGGTCTCCGGTTACACAACTGGTCGGTCTCTGGTTACACAACTGGTCAGGCTTCGGTTACACAACTGGTCGGGGTCCGGTTACACAAATGGTCGGGGTCCGGTTACACAACTGGTCAGGCTCTGGTTACACAACTGGTGGGGTTCCAGTTACACAGCTGGTGAGGTTTCAGGTACACAACTGGTGGGGTTCCAGTTACACAACTGGTTGGGCTCCGGTTACACAACTGGTTGGGCTATGGGGGTGTCACTTTGGCTTCGGGTTGTGCATAGTCAGGCTTCTGTACGTGCATGGTTGTACTTCAGATGTTGTTTGTTCGGTTCGTTCATGCTAGGCTTGCGGTTACACAACTGGTCGGGGTCCGGTTACACAACTGGTCGGGGTCCGGTTACACAACTGGTCGGGGTCCGGTTACACAACTGGTCGGGGTCCGGTTACACAACTGGTCGGGGTCCGGTTACACAACTGGCGGGGCTCCGGTTACACAACTGGTCGGGCTCCGGTTAAATAACTGGTCGGGCTCCGGTTAAATAACTGGTCGGGCTCCGGTTACTTAACTGGTCGGGCTCCGGGGGTGTCACTTGGGCTAAGGGTTGTGCATGGTCGGGCTTCGGTTCGTGCATGGTTGTGCTTCAGAGGTTTTGTTCGGTTCGTTCATGTTAGGCTTGCAGTTACACAACTGGTGGGGTCCCAGTTACACAACTGGTGGGGTCCCAGTTACACAACTGGTCGGGTTGCAGTTACACAACTGGTCGGGTTGCAGTTACACAACTGGTCGGGGTGTGGTTACACAACTGGTCGGGGTGTGGTTACACAACTGGTCGGGGTTTGGTTACACTATTGGTCGGGGTCTGGTTACACTACTGGTCGGGGTGTGGTTACACAACTGGTCGGGGTGTGGTTACACAACTGATCGGGGTCTGGTTACACAACTGGTTGGGCTTCGGTTACACAACTGGTCGGGCTCCGGTTAAATAACTGGTCGGGCTCCGGTTAAATAACTGGTCGGGCTCCGGTTACTTAACTGGTCGGGCTCCGGGGGTGTCACTTGGGCTAAGGGTTGTGCATGGTCGGGCTTCGGTTCGTGCATGGTTGTGCTTCAGGGGTTTTGTTCGGTTCGTTCATGTGGGGTCCCAGTTACACAACTGGTCGGGTTGCAATTACAGAACTGGTCGGGCTCCGGTTACATAACTGGTCGGGCTATGGGGGTGTCACTTTGGCTTCGGGTTGTGCATAGTCAGGCTTCTGTACGTGCATGGTTGTACTTCAGATGTTGTTTGTTCGGTTCGTTCATGCTAGGCTTGCGGTTACACAACTGGTCGGGGTCCGGTTACACAACTGGTGGGGCTTCGGTTACACAACTGGTCGGGCTCCGGTTAAATAACTGGTCGGGCTCCGGTTACTTAACTGGTCGGGCTCCGGTTACTTAACTGGTCGGGCTCCGGGGGTGTCACTTGGGCTAAGGGTTGTGCATGGTCGGGCTTCGGTTCGTGCATGGTTGTGCGTCAAGTTTTGTTCGGGTCGTTCATGCTAGGCTTGCGGTTACACAACTGGTCGGGGTCTGGTTACACAACTGGCGGGGCTTCGGTTACACAACTGGTCGGGCTCCGGTTAAATAACTGGTCGGGCTCCGGTTACTTAACTGGTCGGGCTCCGGTTACTTAACTGGTCGGGCTCCGGGGGTGTTGCTTGGGCTAAGGGTTGTGCATGGTCGGGCTTCGGTTCGTGCATGGTTGTACTTCAGATGTTGTTTGTTCGGTTCGTTCATGCTAGGCTTGCGGTTACACAACTGGTCGGGGTCCGGTTACACAACTGGTCGGGGTCCGGTTACACAACTGGTCGTTCTCCGGTTACACAACTGGTCGGGCTTCGGTTACACAACTGGTCGGGCTTCGGTTACACAACTGGTCGGGGTCCGGTTACACAACTGGTCGGGGTCCGGTTACACAACTGGTCGGGGTCCGGTTACACAACTGGTCGGGGTCCGGTTACACAACTGGTCGGGGTCCGGTTACACAACTGGTCGGGGTCCGGTTACACAACTGGTCGGGGTCCGGTTACACAACTGGTCGGGGTCTGGTTACACAACTGGTCGGTCTCCGGTTTCACAACTGGTCGGTCTCCGGTTTCACAACTGGTCGGTCTCCGGTTACACAACTGGTCGGTCTCCGGTTACACAACTGGTCGGTCTCCGGTTACACAACTGGTCAGGCTTCGGTTACACAACTGGTCGGGGTCCGGTTACACAAATGGTCGGGGTCCGGTTACACAACTGGTCCGGCTCTGGTTACACAACTGGTGGGTTTCCAGTTACACAACTGGTGAGGTTCTAGGTACACAATGGGTGGGGGTTTCAGTTACACAACTGGTGAGGTTCCAGGTACACAATGGGTCGGGTTCCAGTTACACAACTGGTTGGGCTCCGGTTACATAACTGGTCGGGCTATGGGGGTGTCACTTTGGCTTCGGGTTGTGCATAGTCAGGCTTCTGTACGTGTATGGTTGTACTTCAGATGTTGTTTGTTCAGTTCGTTCATGCTAGGCTTGCGGTTACACAACTGGTCGGGGTCCGGTTACACAACTGGTCGGGGTCCGGTTACACAACTGGTCGGGGTCCGGTTACACAACTGGTCGGGGTCCGGTTACACAACTGGTCGGGGTCCGGTTACACAACTGGTCGGGGTCCGGTTACACAACTGGTCGGGGTCCGGTTACACAACTGGTCGGGGTCCGGTTACACAACTGGTCGGGGTCCGGTTACACAACTGGTCGGGCTCCGGTTACACAACTGGTCGGGCTCTGGTTAAATAACTGGTCGGGCTCCGGTTAAATAACTGGTCGGGCTCCGGTTACTTAACTGGTCGGGCTCCGGGGGTGTTGCTTGGGCTAAGGGTTGTGCATGGTCGGGCTTCGGTTCGTGCATAGTTGTGCTTCAGATGTTATTTGTTCGGTTCGTTCATGTTATGCTTTTGATTACACAACTGGTCGGGGTCTGGTTACACAACTGGTTGGGGTCTGGTTACACAACTGGTTGGGGTCTGGTTACACAAGTGGTCGGGGTCTGGTTACACAACTGGTCGGGGTCTGGTTACACAACTGGTCGTAAGTGGAGGCTCTTTGGAGCCATTATCTGTATCAGTGACTGATACTAGAGATCTCGCGATGGATGGTGGTCTTCATGATGGTTTTCAGCCTGGGGGCTGGCTATGGGGTGTGAGTTTTCAGTTATATATATATAGTGGTACCTGCACCTCTGGTGCAAGTGTAGGGACCCATAGCCTCTGAGAAAATAATGAGTACTCAGAGAAGACCTTGTGGCTCCTTACTGAACACTTTGATATTTTCTTCCCCTACCACCTATATTTTTAAAATATATTAATTGAAACCCGTATCAATCACTAAAAAAAATTGGGCTACTTTTATTACAAATTGGGCTACTTTTAGAGCGTCAGCTCGCTACTTTCCGCAAGTTGGAGCTGGCAACCCTGTTCTAGGGTTGTTGCTGTTTTAGATTTAGCTACTCAGAACGAAGTGTTCAGGTAGCACGGGCTATAGTGAGCCTGTGGTTCTAGGGCTTCCTTATTTATTTTATCTATTTATTTATTTTTATATATACAAGAAGGTGCATTGGGTTTGTGAGGGGTACATGGCATGGTGTTTACAGTCTTGTAAAGCCCTGCTCTTTCTCTACTTGTAAAGCCTTGCTCTGCTCTTATTAAGAATGTAATCACTATTTCTCTTCATTTTATGTGTGTGCAGGTTTAGTGGACGGTGAGGTGGAGATAGCAAGTTGATAGCGGGGGGAGAAAGAAAAGGTTGAATGCCTTTGGTTATCTATAAAAGGCTAATCTTACGAATGGGACAAGTTTCTGCGTGTGTCTCTGAAACCATTTCCACTACCACCCACAGTTGATAATCAATTCCCTCTTTACGAGCAAAAGTCTTGGCTAACTCATCAGTTCACGTCTGGTCAGGTTGGGTTATGTTATTGATTATTAATAATGAATTTTGGTTTATGTGAATTTTGTTTTTTGGTTTAGCATGGGGTTAGGTTTCTTTAGGTTATGATAAATTACATTTTATGGTTATATCTGAGGGATTTTTGTAAATTTAGTTATTAATTATATTTGATATTACATTACACTAGTTTAATTATTTTGTAAAGGTTGTCCTAAATTAGTTTTTATTGTTAGATTATCCACTAAGTTAAATTGGCATTGTTTGAGCAGTTCCCTGTGGCATAGTGGTAAAACACTTGTTCTGCGCTTCGCAAGGGCTTTGTCCTGGGTTCGTATCCTGGCTGGGGAGGATTTTCTGGGTGCCAATCATTAACTGGGTGCCTCTATTCAACCAGCAGTAAATGCGTACCTGGTTGTTAAACGATTCGGCGGGTCGTATTCCAGGGAAAATTTGGATTGAGGACCTGCCCGAAACACTATGCATGCTAGTGGCTTTACAAGAATGTAAGAACTCTTGTACATATATATAAATAAATAAAAACAAATTGTTTTCCCTACAGAACAGTCTTATCAAGCCCTTACTTCAGGGACCCTACAAATCAAATCTTCAGTAAATTTCAAAGATCATTTATTTTTTTATTCTTTTTATGATAATAAGCCATTGTGTTGGGGGACAGGGAGCGAGAGTGTATTCATTCACGTTAAGCTTATATCAAGGCTCCCGCCCTTCCCCAAAGTCAAATTATTGACCCTGTCCAGGATGCAACCCCACAACATGCTGACTAATTCCTGAGTACCTACTTACTGCTAGGTGAACAGAGTCATTAGGTGAAAGGAAATGTGCCCAACTATTTCTGTCCCACCTGGGACTTGAACCCGGAATTCTTGATTGAGCGTCGAGACTGTGATTGTTCTCATTTGTGTGATTTCTATGTTGTTCTAATTCCAGAGTTGAGTGAAGGATGTCTGTGTTTGCATGTGGTAACAACACCTGCGCTCAAATTTTGACAGGTGGCCCAAGCATACTGTGTTGTCCTTCTCTTGTACCTCTGACTGATGTTATGCAAATTGGGGTGACATTTAGCCATATACTTTGGAAGACAGGTGAGTTCTTATTAGGCAATTAAGTGAAGCTTTGATAATGAAATAAAATCTATTCCCTGATTTACATAGAGCCACTAACCCTAGTGGCTTCGACGAGGACAGGAAGCTGGCGGCTTGTTGAAGTTTCCCCATTTGCCTTGATCTTTTCCAGGTATATTTTAAAACTCAACACAGTTTTGGCAGTTATGACTTCAGCTGGTAGGCAGTTCCATGGATTAATAACCCTGTGGGTGAAAAAGCATCCCCTGTTCTCAGTCCTACATTATTTTTTGTTGAGCTTAAAACTGTTGCTCCTTGTTTATGTTACATCTGACCTTCTGAAGAAAATATCCGGATCAACATCCTCTAACTTGTTCAGTATTTTAAGTTTCAATGAGATCTGCCCTGTCATGCCTAGTTTGCAGTGTTGTTAGCCCTGTGGTCTTCAAGCATTCCTGGTAAGAGAGTTGACTTAACTCTGGAATGACTTTTGTTGTCCTGTGTTGTACCTTCTCCAGAGCAGCTGCCCTTCTGGAAATGAGGTCTTCGTGCTTGGATACAGTAATCCAAATGGAGATGCACCAGAGATTTATACAGTTGAACCATTACCTTCTTTTCCTTACAGTCAAAAGTACGCTTGATTATCCCAAGAGCTTGGTTAGCTTTTCTGACTGCTAACCCCCACCTGTTGTGCATTTTTTAATGAGTGGTGGATTTTGACTCCAAGGTCCTTTTCTTCATCAGTCTGCTGTAATGTAATGCTATTAATTTGGTAGTTGTGGTGTGGGTTGTTATACCCCACATGCATGGTCTTGCATTTGTCGATATTAAAAAAAACATTTGCCAGTCTTCTGACCATTTGCGGCATGTAGATCTATTCATTTGCACACAAGCTGTTTGGTTAAATTATGTATATTTTTGGAGTTGTACATACTTCCACACTCCTATTTATTTCTTCCTGGGGTGCCTTTAAGACCCTGGAGGAACTAGCTTTGAAACCTGCAGTGGGAATTATAATTCATAAATAATGTCCACTTATGTTCCTTATGAGGTTCCTGGTTATTTTTAGTCTGAATTTTAGTTGTCTTTTGGTTGCCTTGCCATAGTCTACATTTTTCTTTTTAAGTTCAGTGTTCCTGTTGCCAGTAATCCTAGTGCTACCAACCATGTGATCTGTAGTTGCTAATGGGGGGACCTTCGCCAAGCTGCTGGCTTCCTGTTCTCGTTGAAGCCACTAGTGTTAGTGGCCCTCAGGTAAATCAGGTATTTTGCTCCAATGATGTGTTGATTGTCTAGCATCATCTAGTGATTGGACGAGATTAGACGATCAGTTAGTACTCCTGCTGTAAAGGATGTATATACCAATAGATGTACCCAATTTCTCAATGTATATACTTTAATAAACTCTGGAGAGTTTACTAAAGTATACTTAGTGGTTGGTCAGTAAGTTATTGTGGTGGCCTTAATAGCTTTCCTATGGGTTAATAGGCTATAAGTCTAACACCAAATGCCTTGCTGTTGGTCTTTCATTGATCTCTTAGCAGGACTCAAGGGCTGTTAGGCACATAAATAACCAAATACTGTATCTTATACAGTACATATAAATCAAACTGTAACTTCTGCACTATTATTATTGTATTGTATGTGTGCACCAAAATTTTACAATAATCTTATAAGCTTAATTTTGAACTAAATAATATCAATACCAATACTGTACTGTATTATAATGTAGTGAAATACCTTTCATGTTTTCAGAATCTGGATGGAAGTGGACAGGATACCACTATCAGAATGTTTCTGATGAATTAAGCATAGACCCAAAGTGGAAGGTAAAGGAGTCAAAATTGCCTCATACTATTTCTTATTCTGTTTATCTATTGTATAATACATCTTTGATATTTTTCTTCCTATGGATCTCTCCCTCTGTGGGAATGTCCATGAGAAAAGACAATTCAGGTAACTTATGATAAATGCTGTAAGCTCTCCTGAACTGCTCTATTGATATTCTTTCCTTAGGTGTTTTCACCATAATGCATCATGCTTTTCCATGAAAATGATACTCTTACTGGCACACACACGCACTCAGTGATTGTTATTCTACAGACTTAGATAAGCTGACTACAGGTGGCTCAGGTACTTAACCCCCTATTTACAGCATTTGTGTCTATTGGAAATTGTGGACCTAGTACTGAACAAACAACTTGCTAAAATTTGGAATGCAACCTGTTCATAACTTTGGAGCTCCCTAATATCTAAATACTGTACTTTCAAGTTGAGTTATCCTTATCAGCATTGCTTTGAATGAGATTATTAACATTTGAATTCAGGGCAGTTAGGAGCTGAAGCTGATATGTACAGTACTGCTAAAGTAATTTTCCCCTCAGGTTTTTGTGAGTGAAAACCGCACAGCAGCAATCAATAATGCAGGGTCCATTATTGTGTGGGAGGACGAGGGGTGGAGAACTCTGCACTTCCAAAAACATTATCTGGGAGATGAGGAGGCTGCTGTTGGGCACCATTCAAACACCAAAAACCAGTGTCATTCAAACGTTATAAAGACGGAACACAAAAATTGCAATAATATAAGGCATTTTGAACTTGAAGAAGGTGATAGAGGATTGTCAGTGGTTCCTGTGGATGAAGGTTATGTTAAAGAAATTTGCTGTGATAATGGGTGCAAGAGAGAAAAGTTACGTAAAGTACAAGAGAGTATTATTGGAACAAAAATTCATCCCGAGTGTGTGAGTGAGCCAAAAAAACTAAACAATGCCAGTTCTAGTACTTATGGTTCTACACTCATTGAAAGTCAAAATTCTGAATCAGATGTGTCCCAAATAGCCTTCTGCAGTGTTGCTCTTGAAGATAATGCTCTTCTTGCACTTGATAAAGGTAAATAAATCATATATTTATTGTAAGTTGGATGCTTTTCTCTATTCAGTTCAATCACACCCCTTTGTGTTTTAGTGTAAGCTGCTAAATATTGATACATCATATGTCTGTACTGTACCTCTACTGCATATTTTCTTCCTTTAATGTAATAATACAAATTTATTGTTAGTGCTATTTAAGAAGTTTTATGAGTGGTCTATCTTATCTACCTTGTACAAGGCCCTGAAAGTTACCAACACACACAGGGTCACTGCTTTATGGTAGCTTACATACCTATATTTTGTCATTTGGTTATATGTGACGTATGGGTTAGTACACACTGTCAGCATTTAGAATTCTCATATGGATGGGTTTTTATCATTGCAGCTTAACCAGATAATAAATGTCAGCAGTTTGGTGTATTAATGAGTGCATCACTTGTTCTCAGAGTAGGAATTTGCTAACCTACAGTACAGTAGTGTAAAATTTCTTAAGCTGATATTTGCGCAGCTTAAAATAATTACCAAATTTTGTTGTATTCCATCAGATGGAGTAATGTATTCTGGTAGTATTCCCATGGGACTTGGACTAAAAATTACTGAAGTTGCAGTGGGAAAAGAACATAGTATGGCACTGACAGCAAGTGGTGATGTCCTCACATGGGGTGGTGGAATGTGAGTACAGTATGTTAATGAAGAGGTGTTTACTGTATACAAATTTGTTGTAATATGTAAACATTGCTTGCAAACTATTTTCCGTTTGTCTAATTAGAATGCTAATTAGAATGCAAGATGCTAATATATTTTAATTTAAAGGATCCACCAGGACCCAACTCATTTGCCAAGCTTTTTAGACAACTTGCCTTTCCACGTTGACAGGGAGCTTTGCCAATGGTCTTGCCATGAAAAAGGGGAGGGACACAGTATAAAGTCCAACTCAGTCCACCACCCAACAATGCTTGCTATCATATAGTCATGTAACAGCTAATTCAAGAATCCCTTCCATGAGTGACTAGAACTATCACATTTGGTTGCTCCATGCAGCAAGAAACATTTTGTTGTAAAATTCGGCTCATGCAGTCAAGTTGGATTACATACTGACTGTGGCGTCACAGGGATCTTTTCAGTCCTGCAATCATTAAAGGTGCTATGGAGTCACTGGATAAGATAATTATGAGCAAGAGTTAAACCAGTATATAGAGAAAAACTAATCCAACCCAGAATTACTTGCAGAGGTGAAAAATAAAAACTCGGTCCTTATGAGCTGTATCTTGGCATCATAAGTAACTGCTAGAAAAGAGGCTCATGTTAACTACTCATTTGTTTGTGTTCCTAGAGTCTGTTTTATTGCTGGCAGCTCATTCTGTGTAATCCTCATTCATATTTGGGCAGATTTGATTTAGATTATTACTCAAAGGCATCTCCAAATCTTTCCTCATCTCTAGTATTGACAGGGATAGGTTATTGGTCACCAAGCACTCATGCCCTGGTACTCGGGCATCTTCCTCATACATTTGGTCATTGGCAGAAAGGTTGTTGAACCATCTTAGGTCATTTCAATTATTTTTTTCTTTCATAGTGTCGGTCATAATGGCATAGCTGTACAGTTGTTTTTACCCCTCTGGACATTCCTTACATCATGGCATTCTCCCTGTTAGACAGAAGGTTTTTCACCTTTGCTTGTGCAATGTCACATTTTGGCATCTTTCCCATGGTAGTTTGAGGCAACTTCTTGAAGCTTAGGGTTCAAGGGCTGTAGTAGTGCAGTAGTGCTGGTGGTCTCAGTTACTGGCTTTTGTGGATGCGTAGTTGGATTCTTATTAGTTTAAGGATGATCATGTTATTCTTGTGGCCTCCACTTGAGTCTTGATCAAATGGATTAGTTGGATCTGTTCTGTGCCATCTCCTCTAGTCTCTGGTTTTGTCTTCTGCAGTCTTGATGACAACCCCTTCTTCTGATCAAGGAGTAGGTTCCATCAGAGGTAATGATCAATGAATTGGCTTTTGGGTACCTCATGAGAGAGCATTATCCTAATGGATTTTTCATGCTTAGCATATACAATAACTTCCTCCTTTATGCATCTTCTTTTTCATCAAAGACTTTATGAAAATTGCCTTTTTGAGCACTTCTGTTCCGACCCTTCATTCATGTCTGAAAGTATGTGGGATAGATTGGGTGTGTGGCACTAGGGCTTGGTATGGGGGCCAGCAAAGGTGAAAAAGTGTAGTGATTAGTTATTAACCTTAGCCTGTCATTGACAATCACAGTCCTTCAAGGGAAGGAAGGCTCTGTAAGGCTTGATTTTGTTATTCTTGGTTATAAAGATACTTTCTCCAGCTATTTCCCCAACATCTTGTATGACTATGCAGGGGTGTTTGGAAACGATTTCTGTGGCACTGGTGCGGTACTCATCCTGCATGATTGTACGTGGTCCTATTTGTAACACATGGCAGATTCCTCAAGGAATGGCAGAATAATACTGTATGCTCAAAACGTGTTTTTCATAAGCTCAAATCCTAGTATATTTGCTGTTCATTTATATCTCTTGCATGAACCTGTTCTCTTACTCTGAATTTTTTTCTAATTTTGTATATGTTCACCAGATCATTGACTCATTTATATAGTACAGTCCTGTACTTTGTAATGCATTGCACTTTTAGATTTTCAGATAACAATGTCTTTATTTTCAGGCGGGGACAATTAGGAAATGGTGAAGTATGCCAAACACACAAGCCTGAGTTAGTGGAACATCTCCAGGGTATAACCATTTCTTCTATTGCTTGTGGAGGATGGCACTCTGTTGGTAAGTATTGCTGCTTTGAAAGTGTCAGTTATAAATTATCATATATTTGTCTGTTCATCTGCAGTTTTAACTACTCAACGAGATGGAGCAAGTACATTATCAGCACTTGAGTATTTCTATATTCGGTATACCAAGTATTAACATAGTACTGTATTTATATCTTTGCTTTTGTGTTACAGAGGAATGAAGACAGTATGGTGTACACTCAAATGTTTAATATATTTTGCAGTGTTTAAATTTGTAAATCTAACATTGTTGTTTAGATTAAATGAAGGTAGGGAGATGTTTTAGGCAAATCCTGTGGTTGCATTATGGTTTTGTCCCACTTATTTTTGTATTTGTTATATACAAATATATATAATGTCTGGTCAGTAATGTCCATTTAATAAATCTATAATTATTAAAATGGCTTCAGATTTCGGTGTACAGTCATTACTTTTGAAAATTGTTATAAAATATTTAAAGATTTATATCCAGAGGGCTGTTTGGGAAGATGTTTAAAGACTACTACAGTAATCATTAACTGTTGGATGAAAAATTAATTACTCTTAGAGTTACAACACTGCACTATGGTAATTAAGTTTCATTGTACAAGCAATGAATTGTACTTCTTGAATCAGCAATATGCAATAATTTGTGCGCGTGTTTTGTCTTATCCAGTATATGCTGCTTAGATTTGCAATACACAAAAATAAAAAATAAGTACCTAGAGATAGCCCTACAATTGTCCGTTTTCACAATTTCTCATTATTCTATTGTTATTTTTTCTATATTTAATTTTGCTAACTATATAATCTCTTTACAGCACTAAGTAACAGTGGAGATGCCTATGTCTGGGGTTGGAATGAGAGTGGACAGTTAGGGTTTCCAGCTAAGTCTCAAACCAATCATTCAATCTTTGAAACAATTGAACATTCGTGCCAGTGCCCCAAAAGTGCTTCAATAGAAAACAAGGGAGCATGGGGTCCCAGTGAGACACTAAATGATAACAGTGGCAAGTCATCGTACAAAGTCACGGAGTCTCTGGCTGAATCCCATGGCTCATTCAAGGAAGAGACATACACCCAAGCAGTGAGAGAAAGAAAGGTCGTGAACCCTCCAGTTGGCAGAGTAAACCAAGAGCGCACCAAAGATGTGATAAATGTTCAAGCGTCTCCCAAATTGTTGGACTTCTGGAGTGAAACTGTGAGAATTGAGGATGTCCAGTGTGGAGATAGACACACTTTGTTCCTATTAGGTAAGTTGTTATATTGTGAACTAATAATCTGTAATTAAATTCCTGAATACTGTAACTCTAGCTGTTATTTCAGTAAATTATTCTTTATTTCAGCCTGATATCCTTAAAGCTGCATTATTTATTATATATTCTGTTAATTAGTATACCAATTAAATGTTGATATTCATACTTGTTAAAAATAGATATTTTGCCTTATGATTTAGTTCGATGTAGCTTACAATTCCCTTTTTAATGAAATATCACTAATATATTTACCATCATGTAATGAAGTACCCTGTACCAGTGAATTATTTATTTATTTATATATTATTTCATATATTGGCCAACATTCAAACCAAGTTATAGCACATAGTCACATAAGCAATTGCAAACACAAAATATACTGTATATATACAATTCGTTTTCAGCTACGTAGATCAGTAAATTTGTTCAATTTAGTTTTATGTGTGGCTAGTTTTGGAAATTGTCAACTTGTGAAGTCTGAGATGCAGTAATAAGATACTGTATGTAAATTAGTAGCAGCAGTGTTGTTACCATTATATGTGGATGTGTAGTGTACACACATGCATTTATCTTCTTGAATGGTAGCCAATCCATAAATTGTAATGCTTTCTAATGATAGTATTATAGTGTGATCTTGATTTATAGGTAGGCAAGGCAATTATCAGGAGCAAGCACTAAGCAGTAGTTACCCAAGTGTAGTTACAGGATGAGAGCTATGCTTATGGTGTCTTGTCTTCCCAGCACTCTATCACATAATGCTTTGAAGCTATTGATGGTTTTGACCACCACCACCTTTTCACTTAACTTATTCCAACTGTCTACCACTGTTTGCGAAAGTGAATTTTCTTACATTTTTTTGGCAGCTTTATTTAGTTAGCTTAAATCTATGACCTCTTGTTCTTTAAAGTTTCAGGTCTCAGGAATTCTTACGTATCAATTTATTGATTCCCGTTACTATTTTGTATGTAGTAATCATATCGCCTCTCTTTTTATCTTCAAGTTTTGGCATATTTAATGCCTCTAACCTCTCCTCGTAGCTCTTGTCTTTCAAAAGTACTACTATGTAGCTCTTGGAATAGATGAGGATAAGGATTTGGGATAGGACAGAGGAAAGGAATAATGCCAATCCCGTGAACGGTTGGGGATTGAATGTCAACCTGCAAGAAGCGAGACTTGATCTAGTTGTTGATCTGGGATTGGCTTGATGTATAGGTAGTAAACAAAATATTGAGGTGCAATGATTCTTTTCAAGACATTAGAATATATTAAAATTTCAATATTTTTTTAGAAATTGTGATGTTGGAGTGTCTTCTATTTTTATATTGGAAAGTGAAAGCAATATTCCCCACAGTATTTTAATTTTTGTATACAATTGCAGATGATGGCAGTGCCTGGTCAGTTGGTATGAACAAGTAAGTGTAAAAAGTAATATATTTAAAATTGTTGTCATACTTAAGATTCTATTTCAGGTCTTTTTGTTTGCTTAACCTTTGAAATCTATTTACTTCATTGGGAGTTTTCAGGGACAATTCCAGTTCACATTATGTATATGAAATTGATTTTAGTGCCACGGTTTTTAATGCTGATTGGCATCATAATGTAATTGCATTATCTTTTAGGAGGCTATAAAATTGACATTTGCAAAAATAATATCATTGATGAAATCGTTGGTACAAATATATCCCCCATATTCCAATCAGAATAATTTGTGCAGATTATTTGAAAGTAGAAATAGATTTTTGTGAAATGTTTTAACCTTTAGATGAAGACAGGTTGTGTTTTACTCTATTCAGATCTTAGGAGTGATCTATCTACATGAATATACAGTATATGGATATATACAATAGTGTATATGGTTTACTATAGTTGTGGGACAGAAAACCTGTTAAGATTGTTGAGTCCCCCTTATATCAACTCCCAATCTCACCCAGGATGCAACCCACAAGTTACCCAAGTCCCAGGTACCTATTGTACTGTACTTAGGCAACAATAGGAGTTGCATTCTTAGTAGGGTTGGGTATGGTATACCCCGTCACTCATAAAGAGTGACTGGGACAAGACGGTGTTTCTTCTACCTGATGGGGTATCAGGTAGAAGAAAATGTTGGCTAAACACTGTCCTACAGCAGGAATCGAACCTGGGCTGTGACCTAATTGCCCTTACATCTTGAATTTGTACATTATACTGTATATATTTCTTCTTGAAATAGAAGCATGCATGTATTTTACACTTGTGTAATGTTAACATATAATTGCAGGTATGGTCAGCTTGGTCTTGGGCACACTGAGGTGAGTGAGGAGCCGGCGCAGGTGTTCAACAGTGGCGTCATAAGGATTTATGCTGGAGGATGGAATTCTGTCTTTGTTACTACATTAATGCCCTCTAAATTTGATGAACATACAACTTAAATAAAAATGGTAATTTAATTATGGTTGTTATTCTTAATTTTATCAAGCCCAAACCTCCTTTTTAGACCTTTGTACAGTATACCTAGTATTCTGTACTGCACTGAGGAATGAATGGAATAAGGTTGATTGACAAGCAAGCATGTACTGGTTTTTTTTATAAAGATATGGTGAAACTATACACTGGCATTAATATATATGGATCTAAGCTGAAGAAATACACATACTCTAAGATTACTTGCATCTCCAGTATGGCTTAAGCCTGTACTAGTCGTGATCTTCCTTCCTATCTCGTGTATGATCCACCTCACTTCATTATTATTGCGATTCCTTTGCTATATATCTGAATATTTATAATCTATCACCACTGTTGTAGATATCTGAACTTGTGGTTTCCCCACAAGGTTCTGTTGAGTTACCTACTTTTTCTTGTTAATCATCACATCTAATATTCACCATTCTTATGCTGGTATCTCCACTTCGTACTTTTCCTTGCATTCCAGGTTTAATTCTCTTCCAGTCTCTACTGAATCTTGCACTTAGTAGTTCTGTCTTATATAAAGCCAACTTGCAAAATGTGTTTGAACATAGATATTAGTGAATCCATGTTATATAAATAATAATGGATGGAGTGAATTTCTGCTGGTATTAGGTACAGGAACAAAACTGAGTGGTAGTACTGAGTACCAGTACTGGTACTGTCGCTCACCACAACTTGGAATAAACAATTACTGTATTCAATGTTTTTGAATAAGCTTCAGAGTATACTGTACAGTATTTCTTAATTTTTATTGCCCAAGGTTCATTTTGTCATATACAGTATATTACAGTACTGTACAAAACCGAGGGATATAGGCAGAGGATAAGTAGAGATTTAACTTATTCTGCAGTCTTGTTTATGATGAACTAGTTAGTTTTGCAGTTCTTTGTTTAGGCTAATATTATGTTGATATCTGTACATTTCATTAATATTAAATTTACAAGTTATCAGCACTTTTACAAAATTTAAAGAAAACTCATATCCAGTTCTTCTCCTCCAAACTGTACATGTTTGGCTTAAAATTTCACCCCGCTGATATTGGCTGACTTTAAAAGACAATATATTAACAGTGTAAATTTTGTGACAATTTTAACAAAATTCATTATCTGGTGGAAGTCTTCACAGCAGTGTTATTGTTTATTAGGCAATTTAAAAACTAAACAGCAATTTCTTCCATTATCTTAGAAAATGGAGTTTGATCTGGTTCTTGAACCATTGTTAACCTTTTTTGAAATGCTTGCACATTGCTACTCGCTGCATCATATGTTCACGAAGGATCAGGTGTTATTTCTTCTGTGACGGCTTGATGTTTTATTATTGATCTACTCATTGAGCCCTCCTTTACCTTGTCTGGCTTAGGGAGTACAGCATGCCTAGGAAAAAAGGAACATTATTTAAAATCTTCAAAGTTAATTGGTATACACAAGGAATTGTAATCCACGACAACTTATATTTACTGTAATTTGTGAACCCTTTGAAAATTAAATATTTTTCTGTAATGTGGGTGGTTTGAATTTTTTCAGTAATGCCATGCAAATTATTTTTGAATATGAATACCAAAAAGAGGTATATATTGCCAGTAAGCCATTATTATTGTATTTTTTCATGTTACAGAACACAATAACTCATAAAAACATGAAAGGAAAATCTAATTTGAAAACAGAGGCAAAACTTTGCTCATAAGGTCTGAAGAACAGGATTTGTCTTTCAAAATCTGTAACGAGGAATTAAGGATGAATCTTTCTAGCAATATTAATAAAGAAATCAAGAGCCAACTTTATTACATAGCTTGAGCCAATAACAGTGTGAAACAGACTGTTTATCTTCAGGAACATCTATTAGCTACAATTCTGCTCTGCAAGCTGACATTTAGTGTATTGGCTGAAAATGCATATAAAAACCAAATGTTCTGTGCTACCACTCAAGTACTGTATAAAGGATACTTGCTAATTATAATATTAAAAGGAATTGTTTAAAACATTTCCTCTACATGTTACTGAAAGAAAATGTGGAAAGAGTAATCTAGGTAATAATCATGCTATTACCTAGAAGTGTTATATGTATTTATTGTACAAATACATTACTCAATTTGTCTTGAAAAGTTAACTATGTTTTAATAAGATTTATATGTGCAGAGTAAAAATATTTTTGTATCAGAGGACCAACCTAGAGTGCAAGCTGGCAGAGCACACCCAGGACAGAGTATCAGCGCTGCCCCAGATGAGGAACACGCCTATACCGAGGAGGCCAAGGATGGCACTCACCCAGAACACCAGCCGCCATTCTGCACGGCTCCCCTGTTTGAGATGAAAACGTGAAAGCAAATCATTATTGTTAAATGATTTTTTAACCCTTCAATGTTGGGAGTAGACCTGCCTAACACATTTCCTATCCTCATTTGAATTTTTTATGAAATATATTGTCTTTTGCACATAGATATATGAACAAGTAAAAATGGCCTGAAGGGAGTGTGTTCAGAGAAGATAATGAAGCCTTATTAGTCACAATTTACACAACCTTGCTAACAAGATTAACCAAGATTAACACATGATTGCACTGCTAATAGTATTATTACATATGCAAACAAGTGCAGATCTATTTAAAGTTTACTTTTTAGCATGTGCAGTAAGTTCCTTTCAGTGAATATGAACAGCTGCCAACTAACCGTGGGTGTGAGGTAAGCCACTACCATTGGTGCCATTAAGCCATTGAGGCCCGTGAATGAGTTAGCCAGACCAGAGAGTGTAGCAGCATAGGGAGGTGCCAGGTCAACAGGAGTGTACTGATAACCTCCCACGAACATCATGCAGTTACCCATCACTACCATCAGCAGTGCCACTGATGCCCACCACCGCCACTCGCATGGTGCTTCCACCACCACCAATGGTGTCAGACCAGCCAAAAGTAACCCTATAAAGTAAGAAAACTGTTTTTATTGAATATTTTTTAGTGGCTCATATGAGATACAAGCGCCCTACACATGTCCATTAGATATTGAGCAAAAAGGAGGCCGGTAATGTGTTATCTAACAAGATGTTACCAAGTGTGTTGAAGGTTTTCTTAGTGGTGGTGAGGGAGAGGTGTCGTCTCTTGAGGGTGTCCACTGCAACACCCACTGCCAGTGACAGGGGCACTTCCACCAGCCAGGGCAGCGATGACATTATTCCATTCTGCAGGTATCATTCAAACAAACATTAATGTGCTAGTACAATAGCAGCAGCAATAATATCAATATCACTATTCTGAGTTATACTGTATATTCCAGTCCATTGTTCCACAAGATCCACCTAGTCCATAGAACAGGGTCAGCAACAATCAGGCAGTTTTACTTTCTGACACCAGCACCACAGAAAACCTTCCAAACTTCTTGCAGAAAGATACACTGGTGCAAGGGAGGCAGCCAAGCCAGCATGGCCTACTGAAGGATCATTCAGCAAATTTTTGTATTTTAAATCCTTCTTAGCATTTACAAGTGACCACCATTGGAGTGCTCTCTCGCTATCAATTGGCCTACTCTAGTGATCACTACCAAGTAGAGCCAGGCTTGTAGGGTTCACATAAGATGCATCTATATATATACACATACTGTATATTCACTAATACTATATAACAAAAAACTCACTCCCCACCACTATCTAGTGTATATGTAACAAAACACAAATGCTAATACATGATATAAATGGGGGATACAAAAGCAATAATGAAACATATAATGCAATAGCTCACATTAATATAATGTATTTTTAATTCCTTCCATGCACAGAATGGTCCATAGGATGCATAATTAATGAAATAAAGACAATAAAATAAATAGTATTTCTATGTATTATCTGTGGAAATAGTGATAACAAGTCTTGTAATAATATACTATAATTTAATGATTTACTTCAATTTACCTGTGGGCCCCCCATTTCTAGTGGTCTTGATGGGAATAGGTTGCTATCTCATCAAAGATCTCCCCATTTTTCCTGAGGATTTTTTCCAGGTAAATTTTCAACTGAAGTCTTGGCATTTGCAGCTTCAACGCTAAGTACTTGCATCATGGCGTATTACAAGTACAGTATGTGGATTAGCCACTAAATTTCAGACACCTTGGGGATAAGGGGGGTGTTGGCTCACCTCTCTAATGGAGAAAGCAAAAATGTCCCTCATGAAGAGTGGCTGATGGAGAGTGAAGGCAAAGTAACCGAAGCTGCCAAAAATGGTTGTTGCCATGAGTGCCAGCACTGGCATGCTCCTCAACAGTCTGGCCCATGGCACCCGTCTCCATGGCACGCCACGGCCAACACTCGCCCCTTGGCCATACCGCCGAAAATATCTGAAAGTGTATAAAGATTAGTAGTAAAAGACACTAATTATGGAAAAAAATAACACCTGAAACACTTTACAGTAATTTTATTGAATAATTAAATTGTTTATTGTACAGATAAAAACTGTTGAAAAATAATTTATTGGCTTCAAAGTTAATTTAAAAATAATGATGTACAACAGGTGTTTTTAGATGTATGTCGCTTGGTGAAACAATCTCTAAGAATGGCAACACCGTACTGTTTTGGGTTTTATAGAAAACAGATAAGATGCCAGAGTCAGGTAAAGACTATGATGAATTCCATTTTTTCCATTGAAGCTTATATTCTACATTACTTTTCAAATACAGAAGACAACTACAGTATTAGGAAACTACAGTCTGATATGGCTGTGGGTTTTCTATTTATATTGTAATTTAGGAAACCAAAGTCTGATAAGGCTGTGGGTGTTCTATTTATATTGTAAAATCTTGTAAGACGAATGTACCTTCTTTCTGCCTGTGAGATGAATGGATGAGTGAAGGGGGAGTTGTGAAGAAGAAGCATGGCAGTAAGAGTCCAGGCACATCCCAGGACTCCCATCAGGTAGAAGACAAAGGGCCAGCCCCCTAAGGGTCCATGGATACAGAGGAAAGAGATGAGGGGGTGAGAGACCATTACCCCTAGCGGGTAGCTGGCATAGATGAGGCTGGTGAGGAGGCTGAGGTCTGGTGATGAACCCCAGCGAGCCAGGAGGTATGGGTGGGCGTTCAGCCCCATCCCCTGTAGCAGCCAGGTATGGATCACCTCTTAATAAACATGTTATAATAATACTGTAATTTGTGTAAACACATCACATAGTTTAATGCTGTTTGACTTTATAATAATAATAATACAGTATGTACACATATAATGAATATGACAGACAATGAATATAGACAGTAAAAAGTGTACAAAACTTCTCGGTGTACAGTATATACACAGAGTTTATTTTAGTTCTGAACTATGTTCAAGACTAAAGTATATGTGCAAAGCGCTCACGAAATGCCAGGCAAGTGTCTTACCACTTCTCCACAGGACTGCAATGCATCAGCCTTGGTAGATTAGGCGGATTAGTTGGATTTGCACATTTCTGATTAAGGTAAACAGTTGTATTTTTCACGGTGTAGCGAATTAAGAGAATGGGCTAGAGCGGTGTAGTGCCATTTTTTCTTTTGAGCCACCTCCCTGGTCCCTCTGGTATGCAAGAACATATTGAATATGTTGTGGTTCTGAATATGTTCTCTATTAGGAATATGTTCATCTGAACTTATTCCTAATGGAGGGACACATTTTCCCGTAGATACCAACATGAAAAAGATCATTACAATTCACAAGAACCTTACAGTGCAGAGGAGGTGAGGTTGAAGTAGGTAACCTCCCTACCTTATACCTTGCTGGTTTGGCCTACCAGTCTTCTATATGCAATGGCTAGATAGTCAGAGTCAAGAGGTCAACGAGGGATTATGAAGAGTGGTTTCCTTTTAAGCCAGAATGGGGTAGACATTTCCCAGCTTACATTCCAGAAACGCATTTGTAAGTCGGCCGTTCGTTGCTTGGAACGACATTTGCTATATAATGGCAACTGTGAATGTGCGATGCTGGACCACAAACAATCTAACATAAAACCCAAATTTGGGGGAAATAATATAAGAAACACTGCTTTATATATACCTTGAATGATGGAATTGTTCTGCTTGTCAGCTTTCCTGAGTTTACCTGAGAGCCACTAACACTAGTGGCCTCGACGAGGACAAGAAGCCAGGGGCTTTTCGAAGGTCCCTTCATTTAAATTAATTTTTCCCACTATGAGGCCACAGGTGTTAGTGGCCCTCAGGTAAAAGTCTTTGGGATTAACATCAGGATATACGGTACGTGCATCATATGTGGTGTAGTCTGACCTCTGTGAAGCCCTGCACAGCCCGGAGAGCATAGAGGGCGCCGTGGTGAATGTGTGCCGCCAGAGGAAGAAGGAGGGTGGTGACCGCGTTGAGGCCCACGCTCAGCACCATGATGAGACGCCCGCCCCAGCGGTCACACGCCCAGCCCCCTAGTATGGTGCCGGGGATGTACCCGCAGAAGAGGCTGGACAGGAGGCGACCTTGCACCACCTTGTTCCAGTTAAAGTGACCCCTTAGCGTCTGTGGCAACAGGAGAAACAAAGATCGTTTTTCATGCGGAATTTCCATGATTAATGTGTTCACGTGTTCAGGGTTCAAGTGATGCTAAGATTATTGTCACACTGTGTTCACTTTATATTCTGTAATAACATCTACTAAATCAAAAGCAATTAAATACTAATGTATCAGTCACGCTGGCTAACGTAACGCAATGCATTGGCGGAAAAAGTATTTATATTCACTTTAAGACGATATTAAATTGTCGTCTTGATAATATCAAGTGCAAAAATATATATTCATGACAAGACTACTTCCCAACTCTAATAAAGCCACGAGTCGGCAAGCTTACAGGAAAAGCCATTTATAATGACAGTAAGACTAGATACAAAAACAATTTCAGTTCACTTTTGTGCACTAAGGGACACCACGAGGGATTACGCCTTTGTTCTGTGGGGATACCATAAGCACAGTAGTCTACATCCTCGGTTTACAACTGAGGGACCTGGGTTCAACCCCATGAAGGGGAGAAACGGTTGAGCATGTTTCCTTTAAACTGACGCCTCTCTTCACCAAGCAATAAAATAGGTACCCGAGAGTTAGGCAATTGTTGTGGGTTCAGTTCCCGGGAAGGTTATCATAGATGGCATAGGGGGAACCTCGATAAGCAGAAAAGAAAACCCTCTAGGATCTTACCTCTTCTGGAGGAGAATCATCATTATATATTAGAGCCACAGAGCCACAGACGCTGAGACTGGTGTGTGGTGTTACTGTGAGGCTTGTGAAGGTCAGGTTGGGTGCTTGGGTGATGAGAGATTCTTCAGTGATGAGAACGGGCTCCTCAGAAGTAATGAAAGACCTTTTAGTACCGAGGACGCCTTCTTGCGTAGTAACAACGTCTCTCTGTGTCATATATGTCGTATAAACAGGTCCCTGAGTGGTGAGGATGGGTTCCTGAGTGGTGATGAGGGCAGTTCCCTGCGTGGCACCGTCACTCAAATGAGTGGTGAGGGAAGGTTCCTGAATTGTGGCCCTGGAAGCTGGGGCCACCATACACACCAGGGCCATTGACAGACTCATGCGCACCATCACCAGCTGTACTGTGCCCATCATGGCCAGAATGATGGTCCAGAACCGCCACGACGCCAACAGAGGACCTGAAAATGATGACAATGTCTTTTATAGCCAACTCAAGCGCTGTATTTTCCAGCGTAGCACCTCCTTTGCAAGGAGATTTGGTGGATATTTTTGTATTATGTTTCATCATACATTTATTATTTTAAAAGTGCTTTTTATACTATTTTAGTATTAAAAGTGATTTTGAAGTGGTTTTGTATGAGAAAAAACATAATTTTTGGGGATATAAATACAAAATATACTCTAGTGGGCTAAAAATATGCATCCTATCCTCTCCGTCAAATATGGCTAGTAACCCATGAACTTAAATTAAGTAGTTGATTGCAAACATGCATTATGAACTATGAGATTCTGCATCAAAAGCAAGTATGACTGGAAGCTGCTTCAGTAAGATCAAAGATAACTAGAAGATGCTTCAGTAAGATCAAGGATAACTATAAGAGGCTTCAGTAAGATCAAGGATAACTAGAAGATGTTTCAATAAGAACAAGGATAACTAGAAGGTGCTTCAGTAAGATCAAGGATAACTATAAGAGGCTTCAGTAAGATCAAGGATAACTAGAAGATGCTTCAGTAAGATCAAGGATAACTATAAGAGGCTTCAGTAAGATCAAGGATAACTAGAAGATGTTTCAATAAGAACAAGGATAACTAGAAGGTGCTTCAGTAAGATAAAGGATAACTATAAGAGGCTTCAGTAAGATCAAGGATAACTAGAAGATGTTTCAGTAAGATCAAGGATAACTAGAAGATGCTTCAGTAAGTTCAAGGATAACTAGAAGCTGCTTCAGTAAGATCAAGGATAAATGGGAGTTGTACCAAGAGCAATGAATTTTAAGAGATACTGAAAGAAAAAAAATGATTTCAGGGAAATAACCCAACTTGAAAAAAGGTTATTGTGAGCTGCTGCGTCAAAAGCAATGGACAGGGGAAAATAACAGATGTGTTATTTCCCTGAATTCAAATCAGGAAAAAACAAAGTGACATTTATAATGACTTGAGAATAAGGGCAACGACGTTTATTAACCCACTGTAGAGTCCTCTGTATACCCAATCACTTCCACTCAATTATTGATCCAGTACCCGACCACTTCCAACTAGGTATTTTTTACCTGAATTTACCTGAGAACCACTAACACTCTAGTGGCCTCGGCGAGAACAAGAAGCCGACGGCTTGTCAAAGTTTCCTCCATTTGTTTTTCTGATAACTCTTTCAAGCTAGATTTTAAAAGTCAGCAGTGTTTTTGGTGTTTACGGCTTCGGCGGGTAGGCGGTTCCATGAGTTTATGATCCTCTGGGTGAAAAAGTATCTCCTGTTTGCTGTCTTATATTGTGGCTCGTTGAGCCTGAAACCGTTGCTCCTTATTTGTGTTACATCTGACTTTTTGAAGAAGTCTGGATGAATATCCTCCAACCACTGATAGACTTAAAGGCTAACACAAAACCAAACATAAGTCATATGATGTACACACACACACACGATACCGAATGGGAAATGGAGTACTTCATAAAACGGACAGAGAGAAAAATGAGTTAGTGTGAGTTGACATCACACCAAACCTGTCTTCTGAAGTCCACATAAAAAGAATTACATCTGCGGCATACGCGAGGCTAGCTTTACTGGAGTCTGACGAATTTTACTGGTCTCGGACTAATTTGAGTCTAAAATAATCTCTGTCTTAATAATAATGTATTATTATTACTTTAAACACTGATCTATACGTCTGGTAGCTTATCATAAGGTTTTATACCGTGCTGGTATTAGGTAACTAGAATTCTGCAATTACTTTTTTATCTACTGTTGAGGACATGTAAGACAAATGTAAGGTTTTGAGGCCAAGTAACGAAGATAGTTACAAGATACGAGCCAGATGGTGTTGAGATTGCAAAAGGGATTATGATAAGAACTTAAGCCAAAAAATCAATGCATAAATGTTCGCAAATATGAGACTGGAATTTATTTATCGAAAAGTTAGCAATAAAATACGCTTTTAGTTCTTTATTTTTAAAATTAAGATCAGGGATTCTGTCTAACGAAGCTGCAAGCTAAATTACCGTTATCCTATAATGTTCGTCTGTAGCTTGACCCTAAATACTCGTTTATTAAACGAATTTATTGTTAGAGTTCATTAGGAATCAACTTTGTTGAAGGCAGTTTCCAACAAATACCTTCCTGTGATTGGCTGTTGCGCGGAATGCCAACGCCTATATGAATAAAATGCAAAATAAGAAGTATGTCCTTTTACTCAATAACCTTGTTGTTGTACAAAAGAACAACAATTTCTGTTTTATACAAGACAGAAATTTCCATCTAACTGAATAATGTAGACCAATAAGAGGGCGGAGGCATTGTATCGCCGATATTATTTACGTGAGGCAATCCCCACTGATGACGTCACAAGCTAGGTAGCCAGCCCATGTTTCTGTAACACTCGTTACATCCTGCAGTATTTAATTATCACTTTATTAATACTTTTAAATACTTAACATTTCACTTTTTAGGGAGATTAAAGTTGAAGCAGAATGTCATAAGCAAGGATTGTGTGCTGAATAAAGATGATTTATTAAGTGGATGGCACCTATAGTTGATTCCTTCCTGTGATTGGCTGTTGTGTGAATGTCAACAAAGAATATCTACCAATGATATGCCATTTATTATTCACCCCACACCACTTGTGGGCGGAGCTTGGATCCTCCTACCCGAGCGCAACAACCCACCTTATGGGTTGCTGTTTGGCTATTTATAGTGCGTTGGAAAAAAAACAGATGGCGTTAGTTGTATTTTGTGGGGTAATTTGTTATAGGTGTAATTTGATGTCAACAGATGGCGTAAGCTGTATCTTATGACTACTATTAACCTGCCAGTTGATAGTGTTCTTATCTGCCGACAGATGGCATCAGCTGTGTTATTATTACTTCCGAATTCCCTTTAAACACTGATCTACAAATCCCTTGGCTTATGATAAGGTTTTATACCATTTATAATAAGTATTAGATAATTGGAGTTCCGCAATTACTTTTATTTATCAACTGTTCAGGATATCATCATATAACGTCTAGTTAGGACGTACTGCTCTCGATTGATGAAGATTAAGCCACCCAAGAGGTGGCACGGACATGAATAGCCCGTAAATACTGCTCTCGTAATATTATTCAGGGATGTGTGGGAACTATCAAGTGAAAGCGCCAAGCCATTGCGACTATATAGCACTCGAAAGGGATCAAAATACGGATTTGGGATGGAACGGGGGAAAGGAATGGTGCCCAACCTCTTGGGCGGTCGGGGATTAAACGCAGACTTGTAGGAAACGAGACCGTTGCTCTACCGTCCAGCCCAAGTGGTTAAACATAATATTATTAAAACAATTTATGCATATAATAAGAGCATTTCACACTAGAAAATACTTGGATATATTGAAATTTGGTAGTGAATTCCAATCTAGGAATCTCCTATGACTAAACTGTACTTTTTAATTATTTTTATGTACTTACTACTTATTATTAAATTATTAAGTACTTACTATAATAATTAAATAATTTTTTTTATTTAATATTTAAATTAAATTATAAAATAATAGGTAATAATAAATCATTGTGTAGGGGGACAGATTGATTGATTGATAAAGATTAAGCCACCCAAAAGGTGGCACGGGCATGAATAGCCCGTAAGTGGTGGCCCTTTTGAGCCATTACCAGTATCAATAGATGATACTGGAGATCTGTGGAGGTGCGACTGCACCCTGCGTGACGGGAGATGCCTCCCGTCAGGGGGACAGGCAGCCAGTGTATATATATACATGTTAGGCTTATACCAAGGTCCCACAAAGGTGCCAAATTAAAGACTGGGTGCTGCCGGGGCGGGCCCAAGGGCTGCTGGCGGCCCTGGCAAGGCTGAACTTCCGCGCCCTTATAATCACCATTGTTTAATAATCTTCACAGGGAGAAACAACTGTAAATATAGGAATAGTTTATTACAACATACACGGTAAAGAAAACAGCTCGGAAACTAAGGAAATAAAGCTGCCGAAAAAACATTGAAGTCCACTTCAAGTTCAAGTATGTTTATTGAGACAATAAAAAAAATCTCAAAGGGATAGAGTAGCTTAGGCTATTTGTACCCTCTCTACTTCAAGTCCCTCAAGGGGCGCACAAATTCAGTGAGTACAAATATACAAATCACAATACAAGAATCCCTTTTAACATAGCAGGTTAAAATAGGAAGCACAGCATACAAATGATACAAGTGAGTTACAAGTTACAAGGGAACAAGTGAGTAGGCGGTGGAGGCCAAAACCGAAATTGCACACTGATTTTAATGCAGATATGTCGTGATTATCATAATATAAAGATGTTAAGACACGAAAACCTTTTTATTCGTTAAATTGTATAAGGCAATTAAAAGAACCTAACTCACAGCCCCTCTGTTCAAGTCCCTCAACATGCTAAACATATACTCACTCTACACATTCTCGTGTGCTATCTATATGTACAAAACCCTTGTTCCTAAATGCTAATCTTGATCTGAAACTTTTCCTTGATAGGTGTAATAGAACCCATGAGTACCACACCAGAAATAAATATCTATTTGGTATCCCCAGAGTCAGGCTAAATCTGTGTAAACACTCCATGCAGATTAAAGGGGCCCAGTCTTTGGAACTCACTCCCTGATGAATTAAAAAATTGTCCAACCTCTGCCCTGTTCAAAACGCGTTCAAGTGTCGCGTCAGACTAGAAATAAAAATGAATTTTGGAGAATTGATTTTTCAATTACCATCGACAGTGAAAAGAAACATAAGAAATATCGAGAAAATTCGTGTTAGAATTATTAATCTTACTTTTTCGGTCATATTTAATAATATATGTCTACAGGAAAGACTGCTACCAAAATATACTAATATATATATATATATATATATATATATATATATATATATATATATATATATATATATATATATATATATATATATATATATATATATATATATATATATATATATATATATATATATATATGTCGTACCTAATAGCCAGAACGCACTTCTCAGCCTACTATTCAAGGCCCGATTTGCCTAATAAGCCAAGTTTTCATGAATTAATGTTTTTTCGTCTACCTAACCTACCTAACCTAACCTAACCTAGCTTTTTTTGGCTACCTAACCTAACCTTACCTATAAATATAGGTTAGGTTAGGTTAGGTAGGGTTGGTTAGGTTCGGTCATATATCTACGTTAATTTTAACTCCAATAAAAAAAATTGACCTCATACATAGAGAAAAGGGTTGCTTTATCATTTCATAAGAAAAAAATTATAGTAAATATATTAATTCAGGAAAACTTGGCTTATTAGGCAAATCGGGCCTTGAATAGTAGGCTGAGAAGTGAGTTCTGGCTACTAGGTACGACATATATATATATATATATATATATATAAATATATATATATATATATATATATATATATATATATATATATATATATATATATATATATATATATATATATATATATATATATATATATATATATATATATATATATGAACGCTGCTAGTAGCCTCTACTAAAGTCAAAAAATGAATATTGATACGTAATTAAATAAAACATAAACAAATATAACGATTCTCAGAATGACAACAACTCCAGCTGTTGATACAACAACAAAGGACAGTTTATAATCATTATTCTGTTTGTTCATTGATTTGTTACTTTATTTACCTGCTTCGTCAGTATCACCTCAATATTGGTATATTTGGTAAATGTTAAGAACATTCGAGTAAAGTATGCGGGGCTCCCGCATACTTTTGTGTGTGTGTTGGGTGTGTGTGTGTTGGGTGAGTGTGTGCTGGGTGTGTGTGTGTTGGGTGAGTGTGTGCTGGGTGTGCGTGTTGGGTGTGTGTGCGTGCTGTGTCTGCATGCTTGGTGCGTTCGTGCTAGGTGATCGTTCTGGGTGTGCGTGTTGAGTGTGCGTGTTGGGTGTGCGTGTTGGGTGTGCATGCACTAAAGTTGGAGGCCGTTATTGCTAAGAGTCTTGCAACGTTAATTACAGATTATATCCATGTATGACTAAGTTAAATTCATCGTTACAGCACATTTCCTTCACTAAATTACCTCACTGTAACTCTTCGTCTTGGCCTTAAGTAATAGCTTAATACTAGAGCCATTACACCTAACTTATAACGCCTTCAGTGAAGAAAATTGTGCAGTACACTTATCCAATAAACATTACCATCAATATTACATCATTCCGTAACTCTCTACCCGGCATTTACACGAATTTTTATAGCAACTCTAGATTGTTTTTAATTACGAACGCTGCGTGAGGGGATACCAATGTAAACAATGTAAACAAGTGAGGTGGGTGAGGAAACGTGAGGTGCTTTTAATGTACACTTACTCTTGCATGGGTCGTCACTCACGCTCTCAGCTACAGCGATGCCTTCCACTTCGACTCCCACTTCGACTCCTCCTTCGACTCCCACTTTATATTTCTCTGTGGGGACTCTCAGGGCGATGCTCATGGTGTCGAGAGCAACAAACAGTCCAGTTCACAGAAAATGAAACGAGTAATTTTCACTTCGGCTGGATTCCTGCGTCGATGTGCAGGCTCCTGCGCGTGTGTTTGCGTGCGTGTGTGTGAGTGTGAGTGTGTATGCGTGAGCCGGCGCATACTCTATAGAACCTAGACGCGGGGCCGTTCAGCACCACCAACCCTGCCACATTATCCTCATATAATAAATGCCGTCGTCGATGGCCACACAGTAACACTAACAAGCAGCAAGGCACCACTCTCTTATCAATAACCGCCTCGTCAGTAATCAGTATAAAGTCATCATTTGTATATATTAAGACAAATCTGGAGTACGGCGATTGTTATTGATTTGCAAGGGTCATGAATTATACAGGAAGTGGAAGGTTAGGTTACCTCGCTGCCTCACACTTGTGTATGGTCTGTTCCCGCCACTGAACACCAACCTATACTTGAGAGAATGTCTGTCTGTCCAAAGCTAGCCTCACTGGACTTTGCAGGAAGACTGGTCTTCAGTACAGGACGGACATAGGTTGGTAGGAGTAGGCCTAAGTTAAATGTTTTAAGAAATATTGGATTTATACACCACCCCTTGCAATGACCATCTTTTCGTGGTTGGAGGGGGTAGATAGGGAAGGGTATACAGGGATGAGAAAGAGGAGGGTGGGGAGAAGGGAGATGAGAGGGAAGAGGGGAAAAGAAGGGGGAGAGAGAGAGAGAGGAAGGGAAGAGAGATGGGGCAGGTAAGGGGGAAGAAGGAGAGGGGATGAAGATGGGGGAGAGAGGGGGGAGAGAAGAAGGGTATTTTGACTTGCTGCCGGAGGCGGCTAGTTTATTGTGCACCCCATACTCATCCTGTGAGCGATAGCGCAAAAAGGATTACAGAGGGCACAAAAGGACATTATCAGACCTCAACGGAGATCATTACATTAACAATTTCATCTATCCTTCACACCTTATTATTACAGTGTCAGCTAGTTACAGAAAATGTTTTATTTACAGTATAACATAACAAGGGGAGAGACACATACTGTCCCGGGCACTGCCGGGTACTCCTCCTAGTACACACATAAACACGGCTGACTTTAGGTTCGCCGACTGTAGACTATAGGACGCCGCGGTGATCGAACCCTAGACAATATCGCCGCCCAACATCACTTCCGTACTCGGTCTACAAGCGTTGAAAATACACCAATGACGTCACATGCAGCGTTGCCACTACCTGAAATGTTACTCTTCGGACTGACTAAATCTAGCTACTTTTCAAGCTACCATGACCAAGCCTAAGTAAATCTAGCTAATACCATGACCAAGCCTAACTAAATCTAGCTAATTTCCAAGTTATCATCACCAAGCATAACCTAACCGACCCCCCCCCACCCCGCCAAGATATTATAGCCAACCCTAACTAAACTTAACTAGCCCCCAAACTATCATAGAACACTGGACAGGGATATTATTACATCTATATGTGTTGATCTTTTAAAACTTGATAAAGGTGAACACACAAAACTATTCAGACAAGTTACGCTGTTATAGTGACTTTATCTCACGTAACGAATGTAGTTTGCGGTAAATTTACTCTATTACAAATGTTCTACCATTTATGAATAAAGTTTTTGATTTGATTAAGTCGATTGATATCGTACGTCCCGTAATTGGTATATAGTTATTTTATCATTCACGTAACTGACGTTACAAATACAACCAATTAAGAACAGAAACGGGTCGCAAATATTTATGTTTTCTATGCATCGGATTCGATAAGTTAGGTGGGTTGCTTAGGCTCACAAGTTTCTGTTAACGCTTAAAGGTTGGATTTTTTACGGAGTAGCAAATCAAGAGAACCTCGGTATTGGAGTGTACTACAAGGGACGGTTCTGAATCCCATCCCGAGTCCTGCGAATCTCAACGGGCACTATTTCATTGACACGGAGTGTGTTTCTGGCTGTCATGTTGGCAACACCAACTGGCTATGTTAGCAACACCTGTTTTCTGGCTATGTTGGCAATACCTGTGTTCTGGCCCTGTTGGCAACACCTGTTTTCTGGCCCTGTTGGCAACACCTGTGCTCTGGCTATGTTGCCAATACGTATATTTCTGGTTGCCATGTTGGCGACACGTGTTTTGACTATGTTGACAACAGGTGTGTCCAAGCATCGGTCGATTTGGTATTTCCTGGCAGAACTAGACCGCTAAATTCAACACAGGTATATACACCGAGAGGTGTACCCCATGTCTCGGTGTATATACAGTGAGGTTACTTTAGCCCTGGAGTGTGTTCGAGACTAAAGTATACCTCCTGGTTGGTCAGTAAACCAGTGTCACGGCCTTAATAACCATCGTGCAGTTGATTGGTCTTAAGCCCTACTCTAAGCCAAAGTTAAATGCGCAGAAGGGCATTTAAGGCTCTACGTTATTCTATTTAGGACACATTTCCCAGCTGTTTTCCGTAGACAATTAAAGGGACTAATTTTTTGGATAATACTCCTGCGAACTTAGTGATTTTTAAAAGCCTGCGCCCCCCACCCTGTTGCTTCTCCTAACACTACGATTACTACTCCCGTCGAATTTGTTCTATTCGTCTCCAGGACCTTCTGCCTGGCGGTCACCTGGATTGCGCCGCTTGGCAAGTAAGGCAGCTGCAGTGAAGCCTAGTGTGGGATAAACAGTTTTTGGACTGTAAAATACAGACGGGTCAACTACATCTCTTTTTATTATTTTATTGTTATAGTGTTTGAGAGTCTGGGTGCAATATGTTACCTGAGGGGCCACCATCTCTAGTGGCCTCGACGGGGATAGGAAGCCGGCTGTTTGTCAAGGGTTCTTCCTCCTCATTTTGTTTTTCCCAGCTGAATTTTAAACTAAAGTATTTCGTTTGTATTTCTAACCACTTGGACTGGTTGGTAGAGCGAAGGTGTCGCTTCTTGTTGGTCGGGGCTCAATCCCCGACCATCCAAATGGTTGGGCACCTTCCTTTCCTCCGTCCTACCCTAAACCCTTATTCTCTTATCCCTTCCCAATGCTATATATGGAACTTAGTGCTTTCTCCTGATAATTACCTTACCTTGGTATTTACAGCTTCAGCGGGTAGGCGGTTCTAGAGATACACATGTCCCAGGATTGGCTCGTCCGTGAAGGACAAATTATCATCAATCTCTACACCTAATATATTAATCGATGAATTATATATAAAATTTTCCTTGTATAGCCTAATAATTGGGCGGTATTTTTGGCGCCTTATAATTAGACGGTATATTTGGTGCTTTATAATTGGACAGTATATTAGGTGCCTCATAATTAGACGGAACACATGGTGCCTTCCTAAGATTACCGCCATTTGTGTCTAGTTTCTGAGAACGGTAACTTGCCAACTTCGTTCTGAAGATAATGCGGTTTTAATTGGTTTCGCAATGCGATTTTCATTTCATGTCTACAGTATAATTGTGCGCAACCTTTGTGTCAGCTCAAGGCTCTGGGTTTAATTGTCGTCACAGAATGTGCTTCACGGAACTGGATCACATATAATACCTGGGAGTACATTTGCTTGTGTAGCGAGTTTCTAGGAGAAATGATTAATGATAGCCTGAAAGATTTTGGTAAGTAGTAGCAGCAACAGCAGCGGCAAGAGCAGCAGCAGGAGCAGCGACGGCAGCAGCAGGAGTGCCGGAAGCAGCAGCAGGAGCAGCGACGGCAGCAGCAGGAGTGCCGGAAGCAGCAGCAAGTGAAGCGGCGGCAGCAGCAGGAGCAGCGACGGCAGCAGCAGGAGCAGCGACGGCAGCAGCAGGAGCAGCGACGGCAGCAACAGCAGCTGTAGGATCGGCGGCAGCAGCAGCAGCAACAGCAGGAGCGGCGGCAGCAGCAGCTGCTGCAGGAGTGGCGGCGGCAGCAGCAGCAGCAGGAGCGGCGGCGGTGGGAGCAGGAGCAGTAGCGGCGACGGCAGGATCCTCAGTGGGTCAGAGGGAGCAGCGTGGGACGGTGGCCGGACTACCAGTTCTCACGGGACAATCCTCCCTCAAACTTACTCTCACACCTTCTCTGCCCTGTCTTCATTACATAATATACTTTTTTATATATGTTCGGTAATCGTATCATTCGACGTTTTCTTGAAGAAAATGTACTGGCGGTGAAGATGGACGTTGGAGTGTTTAAGTGTTGAAGTTGCTGAAGGGGACTAGAGTTCACACCACCCAAACTCCGGTCAAACACAGCAACAGGTGAGCATTTATGATGCATATTGTTGTATTTAAAGGTTGTTCAGTTGTCAATAAATCAAGTGATTCGTTATCCTTATTATTGATAATAATAATAATTATTATTTTTACTCATTTATTATTTTTGTTTTTCCAATCTATTAGGACAATGTTTTCCGTGTAGAAGTCAATAGCAACATTGGGGGTCTTGAGTTATTTTGACACACACGTTGAGATTTTAATTGAAGTGTTCGATATTTATTCAGTGACATGTAGGGGACATTAACCATTTATTTACAAGATATTTGAATTGGTGTAATGAGCGTAAATTGACCAGTCTACCTGCAACCCGTCTCCAGGTCAGGGGCCAGATTCACGAAAGCACTTACGCAAGCACATATGAACGAGTACATCTTTCCTCAATCTTAGACGGCTTTGGTTACATTTATTAAACAGTTTACAAGCATGAAAACCTCCCATTCAACTGTTGTTATTATTATAAACAGCCTCCTGGTGCTTCGGAGCTCATGAACTGTTTAATAATTGGAAACAAAGCCGCCAAAGATTGAGAAAAGATGTACAGGTTCGTAAGTGCTTGCGTAAGTGCTTTCGTGAATCTGGCCCCAGGCTCGTTAAAGCGACAGCCGTCCCCCAAAGACGCATTCATAAATTTTAATGTCATATGTTTCAAAAAATAGGTCTGTTCCTATATATAATTTAATGTTATTTTTCATTAAAATTCCATATATAGCTAGGCGTAAGTTAGGTTAGGTGTTTAGGTTCTGTTGGCGATTATTTGTTGAAGCAACCCATCCACGGACTAAGTCCATTCCATCCAGCAGTCGACCCCAAAGACACATTCAGCAATTTTAACATTATGTT